CCCCTAAAGTTTAGGCCAGCATGAGGTCTAGGTACTACCCTCTTTCAGTTTGTTGGTTCATACCTGTCCTAATCAAAAGTAACCGGGTTCTTAGAGGATCCCAATATCATTGACTACCCTCAATCGGTCATAACTCCAGCATCGCAATCTTTTCTTGCGGCCAGAACCATCACGAGAGTTTAGCCTCAATGGGCGTAGCATACAGCTACTGTTCTAAAGGCCAAGTTGTGTCAATTAAGGTTCTAAGGTTGTTGGTGCTTAATGACTCCTTAGAAGACCCATATTCTCCTCGTTGCGACACAAGGGATATCGGTACAGACTAAGGTGCCACACCAACGTAGCCACTGCTTCACCTGTGTCGGTCTACGCCGGACAGGTCCCTCACAACTTATGCTACCTCAACAGGGTATCCCCAGATCCGGGTTAGGATCTATGTATCTCCGATGCAACCCACAATAGTAAAGCAAGCAAATCAATACAAGTGAAAACACAGTTATGAACTAACCCTAAGGTACACCTCACTTTATAGTTTGATCTCCCCAGCAGAGTCGCCAGTTCTGTGATCGGTGGATCTGGAACTGACTGTTTAACGCTGGATCGCGAAATGTCGCGGAAGCAAGAGTCGCCACCGTCTTTTATTTTCTCCAAATGGAAAGGACAAAAGCACAGAAAAATTCCTTATAGAGATTGCTCTCGGTTCGGGAGGTAGATTTATAGAAAGGGAAGGTGTTAGCACCCTTTCTATCCATGGTTATCCATGGGCTCTTAGATACTTGCTCACTTGTGTTTTCAAAATGGTTTGTTTGCTTTTCAACTGTGGGTTTAAAAAAAGTTTCTTTGAAAATTTCAGTTCGACTCTTGTATCAGTCCTCAAGAGTGTTTGAAAAGTTGCTTTCGAAAGCTTTTTGAAAAGGTGTTGGTGTGAAAAGTATTTTTTGATTTGTTTTTTGAAATTAGAGCAAGTATCTAGAGTCGTCTACCTACCCTAAGGAATTCGTCTGTGTAAATGTCCTTTAAAGTAGTGCCATCCCACCATTGAGAGGTAGGTAGCACCACCGTTGGAGGTGTTCGGGTCAATTCGAGGTTCGGGACATGGTGATCACCAGAGCAATGGGAAGACACCTTAGAAGCTACCCTCATGCCAGGTTCCCGGATCATGAGGACTTACTAAGACATCCTCTACTCGACGATCACCTTTCGAGGCAAGGCAACAGTGAGGCGTACCCTAGGGGTGGTGTGTGCGATTTGTGTGTCGTTTTCAGATATTTTGTCTTTTGTCATGTTCATTGGTGTTCTACGCTTGTTTTTATTATGGCCATTCATTCTTGCATGCTTTGTTTAACGGTTAAAAGTTGCGAGGAAAAGTAAATCTAAAGCTATTACAAATGGCGCGGGTCCACATCGCCAAAATTAACCAGGACCCGATTTGACAGAAAGTAAATAAAGAAATTAAAAGTGCGAGAAGATTAGTATTTACAAGGCTTCGAGAGAGGTACATAATTATTTAAATGAAAATAAAATAAATACGCGAATTAATGAGAAATCAAGAACGAAACGAGGGCGTTGGACCCTTTTGCAAAATATTAAAATTACATGAATTAATTAATTAAGAAAAGAAATTGTTTTTGTTTTTTTGGTATTTTTGTGTTTTTTAAGATTTAATAGAAAAAAGAAAGAATTAATTAAAATTGACTACTAACCCTAATTCTACTTATTTTTAAGTTATTAAGAAAGATATTGAAGTTTTTAACCTAAATTAACCCTAAATTATTTTCATGCAAATTTAATTATAGAAAATAAATAAAATAAATATTATTATGAGCAAGAAAAATTAAAAAAAAAAGGAATAAGAACATTAATTAAACCTAATTCTATATTTTTTTGTATTTTTGTTATTAAAAGAATTAAAATTACAACCTAATTTAAAACTAAATTTATTTACATGCAAATTAATTACAAAAAACATATTAACACAAAATACTTATTATATTTTTTCTTTTCTGATTTTTAGGTATTTTTATATTTTATAGAAAATAATATATTAATTAAACAAATAATAATTAAAAATAAAAATAGAATTAAAAATAAAGAAACAAAAATTATGCAAACCTTGGGGGGTGGTAGTCCCCAAATAGGAGGTATGATTGTGAAATTCTGGCCCAACAACCCAATGATCCGTTTGACTTTCCAGATAGCCTACTGGCATGTTGACCAGGGTTTAGGGTGTACCTTCAATCTCAGCCTTTGGTTTGATTCTGATGGACGCGTGGATATTGATTCTTAGGAGTGCATGGTACGTCTTGACATGGGCGCTGCATGGGAATTGTTGATGAAAAATAATATGGAAATATGTAAGACCTGGGGTTCGAACCCAGGTCATGAGGGTTAACAACGCTACCCTTTGCCAGCTGAGCCACTATAACGCGTTTGATATATAATAAACAAACAAATAATATAAAAAGAAAGCAACGCGTTAGTGGATTGAAGCGCGCGAAATTCAAAACAGCCTATCACGTCTTGCCACGATTTCGTCTTCTCCATCATCCCTGAAACATAAAAACAAAAGCAACGGTTTTCTATGCGTTTCATTAGGCCGGCTATGGGAAAATAGCGATTAGGCCTGTGTCATTCAGAAATTTGGCGCGATGGCATGTTTAGGATCGTCCAGGTCTGCTGATTACAACCATGGCATTCTTGAAGGCTAATTTTTCGTTAAATAAAAAACCCCAATTTTGAGGTCCTGCAAACCCTAGAAAGCAAGCATGCTGAAATCTCATATACAGCATAAAAACCAAATTAAGGCATATGGTTAGCTTCAAAACTTCACAAGGAACATGAATCTATAATCAAAATGCTATGAATGTACGTAAATATTGAAACACGATAATGGATTTTTCATGAGGTTTCTTGAATGCTGTATACCAATTCTTTGCGTTTTGATGGTGGTTTCTGATTGGAATACGTTCAGGGAACCTTGAGGAAGCTATTGAAACAAGAATTAGGTCTTGAATCGTCCTGGAATGATGTTTTCAGAATTGACTTTCTTAACAAAAATTCAAGTTTTGCAAATGCTTTTGGGCGCAACTTAGTGTCTGGTTTCATTAGGGTTGTGATCAGGCATATGTAGTGAACAAATTAGGTCAAGAAAAGTAGCACAAATCCAATGCATTCATGGCTTTTGAAAATTTGATTTTAAGGATCTTTTCCATATCTTTTCCATGTGTTCTTTGTTCTCAATCATGATCAATCAACCCAAATCTTTCCATAATTGTATCAGCACGAAATCTTGAGGCTAAAACATGTATAAAAAGATTGGTTAGGGTGAATTAAATATTTTCCATATATTTAAATGATTTAAATGAATTAATATAAATAATAATTCAAATAAATAAATAAAAAATGAGAAAATACTTCCCTTTGGGCCAAGTGGTCGTGCACATGTCATGGATGATGACTTATGGAAGAAAAATGGGCCCATTAGCAATTTTAGGTCATTTGAAGTAATGTTGACTTTTCAAAATACCCACAAATTTCCCAACTTCCACAAGGCATAACTTGCTCAATTTTTAAGCTTTTCTCATGTTCTTGGACATTTTGGAAAGGTCTTTGAGTCCTCTAACCAATGCCTTTGGTCCCATGTCATTTTGATTTACCAATATCAAGTTATGGCCTTTGACTTAAAGTCCCTTTTTGTTGACTTTTGAAAATGACCTATAATGTTGAAATTGATAACTTTTTGTGAGAGCATTTCTTGGACTTGAAGTATGAAGATGAGTTGTAGGAAATGTCTTTCTCTTCAAAATGAGCTTTGGATGGAATTTTTCTGATAATCCATGTGAAAGTTATGCCCTGGCCAATTTCAGTTGACTTTTTCAGCTGTCCAAATAAGGAAACTTTTGCATCTTGATGATTTCTGAGCCAAAATTTGAGAATCATGATCAAGCATTGATCAAATGATGTTTGTGGCTTCAAAATGATATGTTGACCAAAAATTTGAACTTCTGACTGTCAAATGACCATTTTGCCCCTACAGTTGACTGTAGTGCAATTAGGGTTTTTGACTGTGCAATTTTGAGCTGAATGCCTTGAAACTTGATATGAGGATACTTGACCATATTTGTAGACATGTGAGACTTGATTGGACCTTTGAAAACTTCATTTCCTTGACCAGAACACAAACCCTAGTTTGACTATATAGGAGACTTTTGACTGTGCAGCCCTTGGGGAATTTTGAAGCTTGACTTGGCAAATCTTGAAGAATATGGGAGGGCAAATTTTGGGGTACAACACCTACGTATCCTCTTATGAGGAATCAGAGTCTCAATTTGTAGTTCATAGTGTTGGTTGGTGTTTTTTATAGGATTGTGTAGAATTGCTTTCGAATTTATCCTTGAACCTTGTATGGGTTTTGTAAAAGAGTGATCGTAGACGAAGTTCACAGTTTAATTTTAAAAGTAATTCTCCTTAATCCTTTTTCGAAAATATCTTGATTTTGATTATGTTAGTAGAAAAAAATGGTTTTTGATTGGTTAACTGTTTTTAATTTCGATTTGATTAAAGAGTATGGTAGGACACATAGCAGGGGAAGTATGATATAGTCTCCCCATAACGTGACTAGATATTGGCCACATATCACTCGTCATGAAGGATACAGAGGGAGTCTGATAAAATCTTTCTCATCACGTGGCCAGATATTGGCCACGTGTAGCCCATTGGTGAATTGCGTGGTTTTTAATTTCTTTGTAAAATATTGAATTAATTAATTTGAGAAAGTTGTTTGATTGATAAATAATTAAACTAACTAATCTAAATTTACTAAATTATTTAAAACTAATTTGACTAACAAAAATTAATTAACCTAATTAAACTAGAAAAACTAATTAATAAGTAAATCTAAGGGGGGGTGTAGATTGTATTGGAAGGTTTAGAGTTGTAAATATATAATAGAGGATTAAATACGGAACCAAAGTCCAATAACCCATAGGAAAAAAAACCTAAAATCAATTATGATTTAATAATATATACAATTGAAATAATAAAAAATAAAGGAAACCTGATAAGGTCCCAATGGAAGCGGCTGGCACTTGTAACAAGGAGTTAATTTTTCCTTTCTCTTGATTCCCTTCCTCTCTTCTTCCAACCTTCTTCTTTTTCTTTCTTTCAAAAATCCAAGATGGTGATAGAGAAATGTCGTTGTTGTTGTTGTTTGGAGCAGTGGCTGGTCGAAAATTGAAATGGAAGGTTGGGTCTGTGGTGTTGTTCACAGTGGAACGAAAAGGTTGTGTGGTCGTGAAGGTTGAAGGCGGCGGAAGCATCTAGTGGATCGTAGTTATTGAGCAAGGAGGTTCCTCAGGGGCTTCGAAGAGATTGCTGGAGGAACCATTTACGGTCGTTGGCAAAGCGGCTTCAGCAGGAGGCGTGATGGCCACCAGAGTTGTAGGGGTTGTCGGCCGGAAACCATGGTCGGAGCTGTGTTCAATGAATGTGGCTTAGAATTCCCTATTCCTCTTCGATTTTTGGTTCCACACTATTTTGTTGTTGTTACCAAAGATAAGCTGCATGGTCGGACAGAACCTGCATAACCGTGACAGAAGTATTGGAGCAAGTTGTGAAGGAAATGAATGGTGAGCTTTTTTCATGAAAAGTTTTGTGTAAATGGTTTAGTGAAAGAACCCCAGCACAATAATACTAGCACCAACTATAGCATCAACATCTCAATGGAAAAGCTAAAAATTGTTAGTTTTGGAGCAAGTTCTGGATAAGCAAAAATCTCATGAAAAACAACGATAAACTATGATCTCAAACATGTCCTATTTCTCCATATGCGTGTCTGTCTGTGATATGAAAATAAATAAATAAAAATAGTTGGAGATGAGTATTTGGAATACATAACAGGAAAGTTAGAAGGGATGGTATTTAATTTTTTATTTGGTTGAAATATACACAACGACAATATTGAAAGGAATCTGACAAAATAAAAATAGTGTAAATGACAAAGTATCAGATATGTATCACGAATGTTGTGCAGTGCAGCTGTGCTGTGAATTAAAATTGGTTTCTATGAGAAAAATAAGGGTTTTCAAAAGTATTTTTAAAAAAAGTTTGTAGAATAATATAAATTTAAAACACAACAACCATCAAAGAAAGTGTATGTGTTGTGAAGTTAGCAAATGATATGTACCTTGAAAGTGTATGAATGGCTTCTTGGAAAATTATTAGTTTACAAATATAAATTTTAAAAAGGGAATAACCGTCAGATAATCATCATACGATTTAAACAGAAGATAAATTAAAATTAAAAGAATCGAAAATTAAGGGAGTTGAAAATATTAGGGGGTCTCAATTTAATCATCGTCAATAATAAAATAATAACACCAAAAGTTTTTCGTAACACCAAAAGTTTTTGAAGAGAAAAATTGAAAAGAAACTGTGCAAAGAGAAAATGTTGAAAAAAAGTTGTTGATAGAAGTGTAATTGTGAGAATTTGTTGTTGAAAATTGTTAATGAGATTGTTGTCTGATACACTCAACAACCTTAAAGCGGGAAGAATTGTAAGAGCAAGATAGTAAGTTTGTGTCGTGGATGATTGTTGATTTGTTGATGATCATTTAGGACAAATAAGAGTATTATTTATAGACTTGAATTAGGTTTAGAAACTTAGTAAGTAAGTTATCCAAAATGAATGAAAATACAAAAGCTTGATCTCCAAAAAAAAGGAAAGAATATTAGTAACAAACAATAAAAAATGTTTAAAACTGCATGATACACTCAACAACCTTAAAGCGGGAAGAATTGTAAGAGCAAGATAGTAAGTTTGTGTCGTGGATGATTGTTGATTTGTTGATGATCATTTAGGACAAATAAGAGTATTATTTATAGACTTGAATTAGGTTTAAAAACTTAGCAAGTAAGTTATCCAAAATGAATGAAAATACAAAAGCTTGATCTCCAAAAAAAAGGAAAGAAAATTAGTAACAAACAATAAAAAATGTTTAAAACTGCATGATACACTCAACAACCTTAAAGCGGGAAGAATTGTAAGAGCAAGATAGTAAGTTTGTGTCGTGGATGATTGTTGATTTGTTGATGATCATTTAGGACAAATAAGAGTATTATTTATAGACTTGAATTAGGTTTAAAAACTTAGCAAGTAAGTTATCCAAAATGAATGAAAAGACAAAAGCTTGATCTCCAAAAAAAAAGGAAAGAAAATTAGTAACAAACAATAAAAAATGTTTAAAACTGCAACACACAAGATTCAAACCCGCGACCTTATACTTGCAAGCTTAATTCCTTACCAACTATGTATATTACTTATTCGTAATAAAAAGCCAATTGAAAGTACATGAAGACGAGCAAGTATTTGTTTATTCAAAAATACAAATGATCTGAAATAAATTATTATATTTTTAAATAGGTTCGGAAGTGAATATTTATAAAAATCAAAGAATATTATAGAACCAATGTTGAAAATATTTTTGACTGTAGAAATAAAGGGAAGGCAAATTTGAGGTATGACACATAGGAATGTCTGACGGGAGTCCCTACTGTTACATGATGAAAATAATTCTGTTTAAGTTTGTTACAATTCTGTTTAATTTGTTACTAAACAGTTAGTTTGTTATAATTTTGTTTAAGTTTGTTACTTAAACAGTATATATAAAACTGCTTTGTACTTTCCAAATCAGAATAATACTATGAGTTTATTCCAAAATTAACATGGTATCAGTTTGAAATCTCTTTTCCGCGCCTTTCTTCTTCGCGCCTTCTTCTTCCTTTGCTGCATCAGCTTGTTAATGGCACTTCCTTACTCTGATTTTGCTACCAACCCTTCCAATCCTTACTACATGCACCCTAATGAGAATCCCTCTCTTTTTCTTGTTCAACCTGTTCTTGATACCAAGAACTACCAGATCTGGTCAAGATCAATGAAAGTGGCCCTTATCTCCAAGAACAAGATCAAGTTCATTGATGGCACTCTTTCTCCTCTGCCTATCTCCGACTCTCTATACGAACCATGGCTGCGATGCAACAATCTCGTCCTCTCATGGCTTCAACGCTCTATTTCCGAGGAAATTGCAAAATCTCTTCTCTGGTATGATCGTGCTTCTCTTGTATGGAAAAGTTTGGAAAAACGTTTTTCTCAGGGAGATATTTTTCGCATTGCTGATATTCAAGAAATTGTTGCTCGTCTTCAACAAGGAACTCTTGATATCTCTTCATTCTTCACGAAATTGATGACACTCTGGGAAGAAATAGAGAACTTCCAGCCAATTCGTGATTGTACTTGCGCTATACCGTGCTCCTGTGGTGCTGCTTCAGACTTACGCAAATTCAAAGAACAAGATAAAGTTATCAAGTTCTTGAAGGGCCTTGGTGACCAATACGCTCATGTTCGATCGCAGATTATGTTGATGACCCCTCTACTAACTCTTGATAATGTGTTTAATCTGGTTCTTCAACAAGAACACCAATTCGAACTTCTTTCACCTTCTGCTTCTTCGATCGAGTCTCAATCGTCTGTGAATCACCTTGCTCAAGCACCCTCTCGTTCTTCTCACAACCCTGGTCGTGGTCGTGGCCGTGGAAACCGTCTCTGTACTCATTGCAACCGCACCAATCACACCATTGAGACTTGTTTCATGAAACATGGCTATCCCCCTGGATTTCAATAACGCAAGCCTACTACATCTGTGGGGAATTCTGTTGATTCTACGGTGAACTCGATCCAAGATGCTGCTTCCACATCAAACATCAGTCCAAGTGCTTTGTCTACGATTCAAGAGCAATACACTCAGATTCTACAGCTCCTCCAACAGTCTAATTTTCAATCTCCTTCACCTCCCTCGATTAATTATGTTTATACTACTAATTCTGTGTCCCATACCTCTCCTCATACTTCCTCTGGTAAGAATTCCTCGAATCTTCCTTGTCATAACTGGTGGATCATTGACACAGGTGCCACTGATCACATCACCCATATCTTTTCCAGTTTCCTTTCCACATACCACATTGCACCTAAATCTATGACAATGCCTAATAGTGACTCTGTCACTACTACTATTGCTGGTTCAGTTTTACTGTGTGATTCACTTGTCTTTCACAATGTTTATTACTTCCCTTCATTTCATGTCAATATTATATCTGTCACCACTCTTTTTGACTCCAATTTATATGATGTGAAATTTTCCCCTAATTGCTGTCAAATTATGCAGTTGTCCCAATCCAAGATGACTGGATTTACAGCTAGGAGGATTGGCAAATTGTATGTTCTTGATGCCACCCCACCTAAGGCCATCTCTCCAACTTCTGGCTCTGTCAACACCTCCTCTTCTCCCCAATTAGAACCTGCTAAACACAATCCTACTATTATTTGGCATCTTAGGCTTGGACACTTAAGTCCTTACATACACAAATGTATTTCCTCTCAATTTCCTTTTGTCACCTACAATGATAATCAAAAACCCTATAATACTTGCCATTTGGCTAAGCAAAAACATTTACCTTTTACTCACAGTAATAATAAGTCTGTTGCCATCTTCGATTTACTTCATGTCGATATTTGGGGCCCTCTTTCCACACCTTCCATATGTGGCCACAAGTATTTTTTAACCCTTGTAGACGATTACATCAGGTTTACTTGGACAATTTTTATGGCCAACAAAAGTGAAACCAGAAACCATTTAATTCACTTCATATCCTTTATCAAAAATCAATTCAACAAGAAACTCAAGTGCATTCGTAGTGATAATGGTCCTGAGTTTCTCATGACCACTTTCTACCTTTCTAAAGGAATCATTCATCAAAGGTCTTGTGTGGAAACGCCCCAACAAAACGGAATCGTGGAAAGAAAACATCAGCATATTTTGAATGTTGCCTGTGCCCTCTCTTTCCACTCTCACCTCCCTCACAACCTTTGGCACCTTTCCATACAACAAGCCATTCATATTATAAACCGTCTTCCCACTCCTCTTTTAAACAACCACTCTCCCTACCAAAAACTCCATTCTACCCCTCCCAGCCTTAACCATATGAGAGTCTTTGGTTGTCTTGCCTATTCTTCGACCTTGCTTAACCATCACACTAAATTCGAACCAAGAGCAAGGAAATATGTTTTTCTTGGCTACAGGGAAGGCACAAAGGGCTACCTTCTCTATGATCCTATCACACATGAATTTTACATTTCAAGGAATGTATTCTTTTATGAAACTGTGTTCCCTTTTGCATCCATCCCACCTGCACCTAATCCTATAATTCCTACTCCTGGCCCTCCTTCCCTTGATTCACCTGATATTTTCACCAATAATCCACCTAT